TGCGTCCGCACCTCGCTCAGCCAGTGAGCGGGAACCGGTCTCCACATGGGATCTGAACCCTTGGCGGAGCGCCGCCACGCTCCCAAGCAGCGCACTCTCCAGTGCGCCACCAGGCTGGCCCTCTCTAGACTTCTAAATAATGTGGTCCTAGCAGAGTCCAAGACATCAGCTGTGTGCTGATGGCTACTGTTAGCTCTTAGGAGCCCACTGACTCTTAGGTTAGTCCAACAGGGCTCAGCTTTCCACTGCCCTGGGCAGAAAGGGCATTTGTGGTAGATGTCTTGTGGTTTGGCTATGCTGTGTTCTTACATTTCTCTGCCACCTACCTTTTCAAACACAGGAAAGTATCTAATTTTAGCCTTCTGGGCCATGCTAACCATTTCCTTTTGTTGATCGTCTGGCTTTAAGAAAGGATGCATGATAATCAGCTCCAGCAGATCCAATGTCCCCTCCACATACATGTCAATCCTAAAACAAAAGGCAGTGTTCTCAGTTTCCCCTTCTATAAACTCACTGACTTCCACAACTAAGAATTCAGAGTGCTTTTTCTTAAGGTACTTAAGTACCAAAAAGTATTTACCTACACCCGTCTCTTAAGAGCAAAGATGCAAAGTCAGTTTTAGTTATAACTCAGAAAAATCCTTCAGAAAAATCTGTCATAAGTCAGAAAGCCAGAAAGCATGACAGCCATGACTGCCTTTTCTCCCTGGCTCCTACCCCTCCACCCTCACCCCAGCACCCATGCTCTGGTCTGTTGGTGTGGGTTCAACTTCACTTTTACACAACCAGAGAATGTCACTTACTGAATGCTTGGAGTGCACCAGGCATTGTGCTAAACACTCTATATCCACTATCTTGTTGAATTCCACAACACTACGAGGAATGTACTATTATTGTACTTGCTGTACAGGAAACACATCAGAAAACTGGAGCTTAACACTTCACGCAAGGTCATGCCTCTAGGAGGTGCAAGGACCAGATTTTGAGTTCAAATTATAACCCAATGCACACTATCCCAGGCTTTGAATGTCACAGCAGCTTCCTACTCCTAATATTCAATGATAATAAATTT